GGGGAGCTGACAAGTGATAGTGCATTGTGGGCTCTGTATGATTTCTCTTAATTACCAGTAAATTTGAACATCTTACTCATATTTAAGACCCATCATTCTTTTTTCTGTGAATTTTTTCTTTCTCTCACTTTAATAATGAATTGTCTTTACAGTAATTTGAAGGACTTTATTATCAGAAAGTAGACATTTCCCCCAGTTTCGCATTTGCTTTACGATTTTTCCTGTATGGGAAGAAGTTAATGCTTATAGACAGTTATAAATCTTTTATTTATTTATTTATTTATTGGCTTTCTGATTTTTAGAAAGACCTTCACTATTCTGAATATTTTCACAGTTTAATTATGCTTAATTATGCTTTAATTCTTTGAGTCCTCTATAATTTATTTTGTTGTAATATACGTAGTAGAGCTCCAACTTGAGAAAATTATTACAGGGTAGTTTGGCTTTAATTGCTGTTGTAGAAGTGAGATCTTTTCTTTTATTACATTTTTAAAATTATGGTTGTGGTTGTTTATACATAATACAGCTTTGGTTTTGGCATATAATTTGATTCTGAATTATTACGGAATTCTCTTGGATTGTCATCTCTAACTATTGATACATTTGCCCACTTCTTTCCAATTTTATACCTTTCATGTTTTCTTTTGGCTGTAGCTAATTTAAAAAAAAAAACAGATCGTAGTGGTGATAGTGCCTCACTTTAAAGACCCATTAGGAATGGGTGTTCTAGCCCATTGACCGTGGTTTTGGCCTCCATGGAAGAGGCAGTGGGGTTTTTCTAATGTGTTGCAGTTCTGGGGGACCTGGATTAGTAGGTTTTGGAGTAAGTCTATTGGCAGCAGCACACTGATGCGGAGCCTCTCTGCTGGTATTTTACTCACCTGTGTACCTTGATCGTGCTGTTGCTGTTGAGGTGTGGGCAACGGCAGGGTTGGTAAGCTCCCTCCTTTCACTGAGCCCCAAGGCAGTTCACAGAGCCCAGCAAGGCCTTGTGCTTTACAAGTTTGACTGATGTTACTTATTCTCGTTTTTCAGAGGACCGTTGCTCCTTGATTGCTTCTCCTATTTAAATTTTCTATATATCCTGCAAGTAATTTCATTCTTATTGTCCTAGAAAGTTATTTATTCTTCCAAATTTTCATTTTTTTCTTTTTCTTTTTTTAATCTGTTCAGGGATTGAACCAGGGATTGAACTCATGACTGTGCGTTTGCAAGGCAGGCGCTTATGCTGCTGAGCTAAATCCCCCAGCCCCTCTTCCAAATTTTCACATTGGGAGATTTAAGAAAATTAAGTCAAGAAGTAGAAAACCCAAGTAAAGAAACAATAACTACCTCTATCTACAGAAAAGAAATCAGGTCCATTCCCCCAGACATGTTTTGTCAAACATTTAGAAAAATTCTCCCTTTTCTAGTACAGTGGACCCCTGATTTATGAACGTAGCTTGTTTGTGAGGGTTGGTAACTCAAACTGGTTGTAAGTCAAGACTTTTTCCAGTAAGAAATCTTGGAAATACCCATACTGCATCCCAAAACTTCCAAAGCACCCCTTATCTAACCTTTTCATAATAAAAAAGGGTTGTATAATGTGTGTGATTTACCAGAAACATCAGTAATTTTCCTACTATATTCAACAAAAAATTATAAAATGTGCCTAGCTTACCAAAAGCAGCAATTTCTTACTGCACTGGACATTGAAATTGACGTCTTTGGCTTGCAGGAAGGGAGGGTGAAATGGAAGGTGTTTACTGTTTTGAAAGAGAGTCCATAAGCTGTTCCATAAGAACATCAGGAATCTGGCTGTCTGGTATCCTTTCTGTCTTTTGAGAATCTGCAGCTCACCAGGACCTGCTTCTTGCTCACTAGATCTCAATCTTTTCAGAACTAAAAACTGGCCTAAGGTTGTCTGTTTCAGTATTCAACACTGTTCTGCAGCAGGATTTGACATTGTCATTAAGCAAGTGAATGCAGTGATTGTCTGGGTGGATCTTCTCTACAAGTGTTTGTAGCTCTGTCTGTTTTTTCAAGATTTCCTTTATTTCAGAAGAAGTTTGCTGCACTGATGGTTGATACTCCCCTTCCTCTTCAGAGAACTCCTCAGCTGCCGTTCTCTGTTGCTCAGTCAGAAGTTGCCAAAGTTGCTCTGTAGACAGTTCCTCCCCCAGCTCCTCAAGTGTCACAGCTGTCTAACTGCAAGCCCATGGACTCTCCTCTAGTGACATCATCATCAGCCACAGAGTCCATTGCTCTTCTAGACAGCCTTCAGAGTCTCTCTTCTATATAATTGTAGGCCATTCTTTCTTCCAGGCAGATGGGTGTCCTTGAAGAGACACTGGCCCGGGATTTCTCAGTGAACCCCGAACAGGAAAGGGTATTGTAATGTTCCTTCCAGAACTCTTTCAGGGTTAAATCTGCACCTAAGACCATCTGACAGCACTTCAGGAACAGTTTCTTGTGTATAGCTTCTTAGGGTTACCTACAGCCTGCTGCTCCCTAGGCTGCAGTAGAGGAGTCATATTAGGTGAGAGGAACTTGACTGAGAGCCATGGAAATTCTTCAGCCAGTTCTTTCAAATATTGTGGATGAGCAGGAGCAGTGTCCATCATGAGGAAAGCCTTGAATGGCACTTTTGCCCTCTACATATGTCTTAACAATAGGACAGGAAATCTCCCTGATCCCCTCAAGAAAAAGCATTCTTGTTACCCAGGCTTTTGTGTTAGATCTCTACATGACCCCTCGCCTATTTTTCATGACTGTTTTCTGAACACACTAGGGGTCTCAGAGTAGTAAGCCAACAGAGGCTGGATCTTGCGGCCACCGGTCACTGTTGGCATTGGCACATAGCAATAAGCTTTGGCCTATCCTTCATAGGCTTGAGGCCTGGCATTTTCCGCTCTTTCTAGGTAATGTATGTCCTGGGCATTTTCGCCCAGAAAAAGCTAGTTTCATCACAGTTGAAAACTTTTTTTTTTCTTTTTTTTTTTTTTTTTTTTTGTCTTTTTTATTTTTATCGGTACCGGGGATCGAACTCATGACTGCCTGCTTGCAAGGCAGGCGCTTATGCCGCTGAGCTAAATCTCCAGCCCCGACAGTTGAAAACTTAATGAGAACAAAAGCCAATTCTCTGTCATCGTTTTGAAGTGGCATATGTAATTTTCAGCAGCTGTTTTATCAGTACTGGCTGTTCTGCCACTCCTAGTTATACTGAGAACCCCAGTTCTTGCTTTAAAAATGTGCAGCCATCCCTTTGCTGCTACAAAATGTTTCCCCATTATTACTTGTTGATGGATTATCCTTTACGAGATGTGCATTAATAGTCCTAGCCTTTTCACAAATTATAGACTCCGACAGGCCATAACCTTCCATCTGCCTCTCATTTATGCACACTCATAAAAGCCCTTCTGTGTCATCTGACACTGTTGATTGTGACTTACTAATTTGAGTAACACCTTTAGCAACACTAGCTTCTTTATATGAATCTTTTCTCTGTAAGATTGTTGAGATGATGGATTTTGACAAGCTATACATATAAGCAAGATTGGTCAATTTCCTTCTTTTTGATTGTGATTGCTTTCTTTACATCCCCTTGTGTAGTTGTTTTCCTAGCTTTTTTTTGGAGGGCCACTTAGATAGCAGTAATTGTAGTGATTACATAAAACACTGACCGAAATCACATCCACAGACACGCATGTGAGCTCAGACTGATGCTTACGTATGCTTTTCTGGCATTGCAAGTCTTTGTTTACAGCCTCACAAGTGGCCTGCATTTGGGTTGTAACTCAAGACTGTGATTATAAGTTAACCCTAAAATGCCAATTGTAACCCAAGTTGTAAGTTTATGAGCTGATTTTACTCAAAGGCCGACTGTATGAATGCCTTGTCTCTTGCACATGTGCTCTCCTGTGTCCTCTGTGACCCCCTTGGAACGGGTGTTGCTAGGTGGTTGTGTCACACCTGTTGAGTCAGCAGACACCCTTGTGTCACTCGAGAGTCGCTGCCTCCTGTGCTAGGCCTTAGGGTTTGCTTTACACACAACTGCTGTGTTGGCTCCTCTCTTGCCTTCTGATAATTTGCCATGTCACTTTCAAAGACTATCTATAGGTAGATTATGTTGAATGTTGTTTTTAAGTTTTCATTTTACCTTTAAATGTGGTAGGTAAGCTAGGCATAGGGGGTTTGGTTCAAAATAATTTCTCTCTGGAACACTGAAAATCTTAAGAACGTCTCAGCATAGATTTGTGTCAGACACACAGTTGTGATCACATTCAACATGTAATAGTGGGTCTTTTCAGGGCAGCAGTTGTATTTTTCTCTCATCATTGGGTCTGTTAAAGCTATGTTCATATTTATTAGGTTTAATTAGCTTATATTTTGCTACATCCAGTGTTACTATAGCTTATTTCAGGAACTAAGCATGATAGCCTTTCTAGTAGATAAGAGGTTTCTGACTCATCTAATTTTTCCTCTTCTGCTGGGTTTGATCAGGCATAAAAGTGCACTGTTTCTGAGTGCCAACAGGATGGCGATGGACCTGTCAACAGAGTCCAGTGACCTGCACCATGCCTGGCCAGGAGAAAGCTGGGGTTGCAGACAGGTGGAATGCAGTTACTTTTGCCCTTAACAGAATATTATGTCACCAGCATAGTCACTGCACCAGTAAACTTAACATAGAGCAGGCTTCTCAGGCCACCTCCATGTGCATCCCAGAGCGGTGTCTCCCCCTCGAGCAGACCCGGGGATAGAAGTGTGGCCCATGTCTCTATACTGGGTCAGGCTTGTTCTTTGAACTTTTGAATAGTGATTAAGCAGTTTGAGTGCTCTGCACTGTGATAGTGTACTAATCCAAGAGATTATAGTTTTACCTCAGTCCCACAGATATTTGCATCCAGAGGAGTTTCATCTACAAACGTTATGTGTAGACCTGCACAGCTGAGGAGGAATTTTTCATTTCAGGCATTAGCGCTGATCCCTCTTGCCTTTTCTCTTCTTCCTGGGCCTTGCAGGGTGAGGATCCATGACCTCCGCACTGATAAAATCGCCTTGTCGCTCTCCGCCCACCAGCTTGGGGTCTCTGCTGTCCAGATGGATGACTGGAAAATCGTCAGCGGAGGCGAGGAGGGGCTGGTATCCGTGTGGGATTATCGGATGAGCCAGAAGCTGTGGGAGGTCCATTCCAGGTGAGGGCTCCTCGGGTAGCTTCAGGAGCAGCAGTAACAGGAGCTGATGGTTCAGGTGCGCCTGGGCTGGGCACTGTACCTGTGCTTCCCCACACGTGCCTTTCTGTGGCCCTGTGAGCAGGCTACGCTTGCTGCCACTCTGCTCCAGACCTCCTCCCCACTCCAGGGTCCCCATGCACAGACTGTGACCTTCTGCCCACTTCCTGGGCTTTCTTCACACTGTTGAGAAGCATGCATAGCACTGAAGGTGGTCAGACTTCACCTGAGGAATTTATCATTTTCACCTGTAATGAGGATATCTGAGGGATAAATAGATACTATTTACGGGATGCAGATATATTTATGCTAACACTGGTTAGCTGGTTAAGAAATTCTGTGCAAGCCTGCACTTTTCCTTTAAAGCACAGGCAGCCTGGCCTGGAGCTCAAGAAAGCATGGCCTCTGAGGATCAGCATAGCCTTTGTCTGTCAAGTCCTTGGACCACACTTAGTGTCCAAGGAGGCATCAAAGTGAAATGAAGAGCTTTGTCCTCGGAGGGCAGTGTGGGTATCCACACCCATGGCCCCTGTCGGTCCCTTCCTTACTGGGAACATGGGTAGACAGGCCCTTTTGTGATTTCCATGGAGATACACTGTATTGCCACCAGGTGGTGCCAAAGGCAACCAAAACTTCCATGCTGGAATCCCAGAAGCATTTGCCATTAAGGAAAACCTGGTATGTACGCGGATGTGTGTTTATATGTATTGTATTTGTTGTACATAATGATTACATTCATTGTGGGGACTGGTACACATACCGAACACATCCTAACTCTGTTAACGTCCTGCTGTTTGTTTTAAAGAGGTGACTCAGCCACTAGGACAGCTCCTACCCTGTCCAGGACATAAGCATTGTGGCCAGTCCTGCCCAGGGTTCCTTGTGGCTCCCAAAGTACACTAGCACCATAGCCACTCAGGAAAAGCCAGTGGAATGGGTCCCGCCCCAGCCTTTGTGACTGTCCAAAGGCATGGTATCACTCACTGTGTCTCCTTTACACAGCCCCCTGCCTGGAATTCACTGACCTGTGCAAGCACTCCATGCTGAGCACGCTGCTCAGCCCAATCTTCCTTGAGCTCTAGTTCTGCTGTCATCTGGTCACATTCATGTCCCATCCTTCGTCTGCCTCAGACTTCATCACGCTCTGCAGGTCCTCCCCAGCTGCTGGTGGTGCAGCACTCCAGCCTGAGGCCAGATCCTGCCCCTGTGTTCTCTTCCTTCTGCCCTGTAGTCCCCAGCCAGAGTCCCCAGTGACCCCCCTACCTCCATTCCTCTCAGGAGAAGCACCCTACCCCATCCCACCACTGGCCCAGGAACAGCCCAGGCACTTTCCCTCATCCCCTCCACCTAGGTGCTCCCCCTTGGTCCCCTTTGTGGCCACTCAGTGCTCCCCCTGTGCTGTGGAGGCTGGCTGTTGGAGGGAAAGCACCTTACTTAGGCAGGTCTCCGAGGATAGGCATTCACATGTAGGAGACACTGTGTTACCTGTTATCTCCTAGCTCAGCGCTGTGACCGATGCAGGTGCTACAGAAATTGCTAGAGAATCCAAAGCCTTTTGTAAACAGCCTTAAAGCGACCACCTTCCAATAAGCTCTGAAGGTACTTTCACAGCCCAGAGCATAGGTGTCACTTGTAGCCCTCTCACTGCAGAACTAGTGAGCTTATGAATCACCACTAAATATACCCCTAACCCCTACCCAGGGCTCTGCGGCCCTGGAGACCAGAAAGGAGCTGCTCCCCACTCCCTTAGCTGGCTTGTCTCCCGTTAAGTTGTTGGACAGGCAGTTGGAACTGGCAAGAAGCATGTATATTTGCTTATGAAGAGGTGACCAGAGCACGGTTGGAGGGTTCCAAGGCCCCTCGCTGCCCCTCATCTGTGCTTCTAAGCAGCTGACACAAATGCCCTCCCTGTCTCCTCTGCTGCTGCAGACACCCTGTGCGGCACATCTCCTTCAACAGCCACCGCCTCATCACAGCCAACGTGCCCTATGAGAGGGTGGTGCGCAACAGTGACCTGGACAGCTTCGCCACCCACAGGAGGTCAGTGGGGCTGGGGTCACCAGATTTGTGCCTGTTCAGAAAGACAGACATGGCCGGATTTCACTCATGGAATCCCCACTGCGTGTCTCCTACAGGTCCCCCCCCTCCCCCCAGCACAGCCATTGTTTTTGCAGACATTGCCAACCCATTGGCAGCTGCTGTGGAGCTGTGGCATGTACTGAGTGCTGTCTCAGTCCTCCCTGGCCACTGGCAGACCTGGGGGAGGGGCCTATCTGTTAAAGCAGATGAGCCTTACTGCCTGAACCTGAGCTTGAGGGCTTTAGGGGCTGCTCATGCTGGCCCAGTCCTCCAAGGTGATTCCCTGTGCTCTGTCTCCTGGTGACCGGGCTGCCTGTCAGAAGAGGTCCCATGCAGGTGGGCTCAGGTGCCTTTTCTTATCAGACTCTTGTCCTGGCTCATGACACACACACACCACAACACATACCACACACACCCACACACACACACACACACACACCACAACACATACAACACACATACACACACACACACCACAACACATACAACACACACACACCACAATACATACCACACATACACATACACACCCCATACACCATCCTGGGGGAGCCTGCTTGCCTGGTGGACTCTCGTCCTGGGGTGCTGAGCATCATACTGTGGGCCCGAAGGCAATATTTCTTAAAGTGAATCTCAACCTTGCCACAAGCAAATGCCTCCTGCCAAGATGGAAGTAAAATCTGTCAGGGGCGAGGACAGTAACACTGCCCTGACCAATTCTTTCCTGTCTTTCTCTAGACACCGGGGGCTGATCCATGCCTACGAGTTTGCAGTGGACCAGCTGGCCTTTCAGAGCCCTCTGCCCATCTGCCATTCCTCCTGCAACACCATGACCGGCTCCAACTATGACCTTGCGCTGGCTTTTCCTCATGACCGTATTTAAGCATCACCTCATTTTGGGAGAAAAACCAATTTTACAGATTTTAAAACCACATGGGCACTCGCAATGGGAAGCAAATGTTGGGGGGAAAGGAAAGCCGCAGGATGGGAGAGCCTGTGCGGGGCTGCATACGCTAACCCTTCACTCTCCTCCTCTGCTGGTCACTACCCTTGGCCACCCGGGGAAACCTGGAATTTGTTGCATCTTAGTCCTTTCTCCGTTCTCTCTCCTGAGCACCTCTGTTCTGTCTCCTGTGGCTTTGAGTGTCATGACTCAGCCTCCATCCCCCTGGCACCACCTCCAGGTCAGCCTCTCTCAAGAGTGACACCTCTACCCTTGCCCAGTGCTCCATCCCCAACCCTTGTGTATCCCCGTGGGGTTCTGCTGGGCCTTCTCTGTGCTCCCTCTCTGTAGGCCATGTTCCCATCTCCTTACTGTGTCTTCAGGGGCCTTGGGTTGTGCTGCCCAAGACTTTGGATTGCAACTCCAAACTCTTGTGGTTTAGGATGGAACTCAGGGCCACATGCATGCTAAACAAGCCACCTGCCACAGAGTTGCACCCTAGTGTGGTAGATCTTAGATTCCAAACTATCACCACCAAGTGTAAACCTGGGGAAGCAGGGCTTTTTCTTCACGTGATTGTAGCCCTTGGTAAACGCTGTATTTGTACCACTGTGTCTACAACATGGGATGCAAAGTAAATATTTTCTAAATACTTACTGTCTAAGTGGCACCCTCCATAGGGACTAGAAGGCAGTGTTACCGCAGGAAGAGTGGGGACAGGAAGGCCCTGAGGAGCCATGACCTCTGGCCACTAGCATAGATCAGGTCAGCATGGAAGAACAGCCAGGGAATAAGAAGCTTCTGCTGCATGCAGAAGGGAAGCCACCAAACTGCTCTTGCTGGCCTGACCAGCAACAGAGCTCAAAGTATCAAAGCGAAGATTGGGAGAACCACAGAGAGAAACAGCATACATCCACTCAGTGGCAGATCACATGAACCCAGTGAAAAGATTCAACCCTGGAGAACTTGTTTACTGTCATGAACAAGCTTGACCCAGGAGATGTGTGGATTAGACCATGTACCAAACATGCTCGGGTGAAGGCCACCAAGTCTCAGAGGGCACAAAGATTGCTGCCAAACAGTCCATAGTTCCTTACCCCGTCAGAGTAATTAGAAATCAACATGAAGTAAAATTAAAAACCACCCGGAAATTCCAAATGTTCCAAAAATTGGATTTAGAGAGAGTGATAGAGGAAAAAAGGACTCTAGGGTCTGGGGATTTAGCTCAGCGGCATAAGCGCCTGCCTTGCAAGCAGGCGGTCGTGAGTTCGATCCCCGGTACCGATAAAAAGGAAAAAGACAAAAAAAAAAAAAAAAAAAAAAAAAAGGACTCTAGACCAGGGCCGTGATGCAAGCACTGAACATCCAAAGCCAGGGCGGAGGCCTGCCGGGGCACTGGGGGAAATGGGCAGACTGAAAAATGAATGGGCCAAGCTGTCCCCGCAGAGGGCTCAGCAAAGGAGATCACAATCCCAGAGAAAGCAGAAGGAAGAGAGGAGTTGAGGACAGGAGCAGCTATTGAGATAGAAAAATGTAGTTAAGGCAGAAAACAAACCATGACCCCTGATGAAGAAGGCATAAGGCAGCGGGAACAGAGCAGGAGATGCTGCCCCACAGGCCCAAGGGAGAAGTCAGGCTTGCTGTCACCTGCAAGTGAACGTGGGGGTGCCCACCACGGCTCCAAGGTCAAGAGCAAGCTGTGTGTGCAGGGCTCCAGGGATGGGTGTGGGGCTTCTCACGTCCTACTCTGCCACTGAGCCCCAGCCAGCCAAGGGCTGGAAGTTCTGGGCTGTAACGGTTTGGAGAAGTTTCTAAGACTGCTCGAGACACTCAGTCTTTAAACAGCTGTCATGAGCTAGGTGGGAGGATGGAGCCACCAGGGTTAGGGTAGGGTCAGTTTGCAACCCAGAGACGGCTGCCCCCTAGAGACACACACCCCCGGTGGGGCGGTGGTTGGCCAGGTTCCTTAGTGAGCACGGCTGCCCATGGGTTTGCGGTGGAGTGGGCCACACTGTCAGTGTCATGTGCAGGCTGGCCCCTGCTGACCTGCCTTTATTAGGCTTCCATCATGCCCCAGGCTTTTTCTCTGGTGGTCTTCATGCAGTGGGGTGACTGGAGGAAGGTTTTCTTTTTTCAAGCAGCAGCCCGTCCAGTGTGATGGCGCAGTTCATTTTGCAGGTCTGGTCTCCCAATTTTTACAACAATTAGAACTGAAAGGCTCAGGGATTTAACTCAGTGGCATCAGCACCTGCCTGCTGGTGAGTGATAGGTCGTGAGTTCTATCCCTGGTACCCCCCCCCCCCAAAAAAAAAAAAACAGAACTGAAGAGGAAGCGGGTGTAGTGGCGCACTCCCGTGATCCCAGACCTTGGGAGGCTGCAGCGCGAGGATCACAGGTTCCAGTCTCACCTGGGCAACTTGTCTTAAAAGACATTTAAACTCAGAAAATTGAACAGAGTTTTAAACAACTGCCGTCCGCTGCCCAGAGCTAGTGTGGCGCAGCAGCTCTCCAGGCAGTTTATCCCCAGCGACTGCCATGCGGGAGAACCTCCTGGGTCTGTGAGGAAGTTTCTTGGCGCCACATGCTAGCCGCGATCTCAGCTCTAAAAACTAGAACCTCCTGGACCAGACCGCCCTGGCGGGAAAGAGGGAACACTGCTGCAGAAACGCGCCTTAGCCAGGGACACTAAAGTAGCTCCCAGCCCGAGTCCACTGCACCGCGCCTCCTCTCTGCCAGCAGAGGGAGCTGCATCCTTTAAGTCTGTGGTCTGCGTTTCCTTTTGCCCGAGCTTCTTCCAGTCTCGCTTCTGCTTTTCCTGGAAGATAGAACAGGCCCAAGCATGCCATGGGGGAGCAGGTGACACAATGTCAGAGGCTCCTAGTGCTCACCCCTAAACGTCGCTACCTTCTGGCTCTGGAAAACGTTTTGAACCTGCTGATTGCTAGAGTTGTGTTAACCCCCTGCTAGACAGCCTGCTCCACTGGCCTTGTTGTGGTCTGCAGGAGTCCACTTTGTGATCCCAAGGAAAACTTAGCGGAATGCTAGTGGGTAAATTCCAGCCTACCACTTCCAGTGCAACCCGTGGTGCGAATAAAGAGGCAAACATGTATGGGAGCCCAGGGAGGCAGAGTCCCGTCAGATCGTGAGGAGGGGAGCAGCTCGGGTATGAGTGACTGGGCAGGCCGCGCAGGGAGCTGGGCTAGGCAGGAGGCATCATAGCACCTCTGCAGTGCGCAGAGATCCGCAGAAACAGTGAGCTGCATGACACAATTAGAGGAAGGATCTTGTGTTTGGGGAAAGGTGCTTCAGAGTTGATGTCTGCCCTGAGACGTCAGGAGTTCTTTCTGGAGCGTCAGTCTTAGCCAACAGCATGGTGTCACTTGGCCTAGCTCACACATACTAGCTGAGAGCTATAGGTGGGACATCACTGACCTGTCACATTGCATCAGCACCTCTGCCAGACCTATCTGCATTGCTTAAGACAGTTGAGAAGGCAAAGAAATAGACTGGCCAGCTCTGTACATATCAACACCCAGAATTAGGGCCAGATTCAGCCATAGTGGTGACAGTTGATCTTCTTCCAAGTAAAGCCGTCCTGGTGGTCCTTCTCTCTGCAGGGTGCACAGTGCCATTCCTGGGTACAGCATGGTACCTGATCTCCAGAGAGGAGTTCCAGCCCGGGACCCAAGAGACCCACAACAGGATGTGCAGCCATGCACACAGGCGTGCTCTGGGAACATGGTTATTTCACACTCAGGAGGGGAGCATGGCCCCCTCCCTGAGGCTCATCTCTGCCCCTGGACTGGGTTTGTCCATCCGGGCCTCATGTTGCCTTAGTCCAGGCAGTCTTTGCAGGGACAGCAGCACCTTCCCCACTAAGCAGAAATCGCCCTAACTGACCACTCAGATTTCAGCTGACCAAAGGGAAATCGAATTTTCCCAGCAGTGTTCTGCCCAGTGAATGGAGTTTTGGTCCTTTCCAGCAGGGAAAGCTGACATCCTTAAGTCTAAGTCCTTTACCTCTTGGGAACTTGAGTCCCCACATTTACCGCTGTCATACTGCCCACCACTCGCTAAATAACAGTGCCGCAGGCCAGTGTTGCTCAGAGCTGTGGAGAAGCAGCTTCCCATGCTAAGTGTGCAGCCTCCTCCAACAGCCATCGATGGCTGCTATTGGGGAGGCCCATGGCAATGGCTCAAGCAGGGCCAGTGCCCCCCTCCTGACAAGGCTGTGGCTTTGAACAGCAGCTGCTGCAGCCCTGAGCTAATGACACTGTCCGGTCAGTGCCTCAAGCCACACAGACCTGCCCGCAGGCCCCCCTGCCACACACACACACACAGCCAGGCCAGATGGTCACCTGGCTGCTGCTGCGGGCCCGCAGTGACTTGGACAGGGGCTGCCTCTAATGTGCAATGGTGGATTCCCACTCGCTGGGCTCCAGCAGGCACTATGTGGGCACCAGCAACTCCCAGCCTCTGATGTTGCGCTCAGGCTTCTAGAACAGCCATTTGCCCTTTCTTTCCCTAGGAGGGGAGGAAAAACTCCGCTACCCCTCCGCATCTGAGCCTATCCTGCCAAACCTTCCCTTGCCCAGTGTTGCTCCTCTAAGATGGTAACAGCAACAAGCTGCTGATGAGAACAGCCCTTCAGGTGCCAGCACTCTGTAGGAGCCCAAGCTTTGTCCCTTGTGGGCTTGGTCAGCCAGCAGATTAGAAGTTTGGGCAGCCACTGAGCCCTCACCATAGTCCTCCAGGCTATGTTCATCGGACCCCAAACCTGCCGGCATTGGTGCAGTCTGACAGAGACAAAGGCGCCCAGCTGATACTCTGGCTCCTCCTACATGGCTTTCTTGGCCTTCCCAAGGTCACCCGTGGGAAGGTAGCCTGCAAAGGCAGGTGTTTGCAAAACCCTCGCCAAGGCAACTTGTATTTTTAACTTTCCATCAGCCTACTTAAGTCAGTCACATGGTGCCATTTCCAGCACAGGAGAATTCAACATCAGCCTAGTTAACAGCAGGCAGGTGGGGACAGGTTCACCTGCTCAGTGACAAGGATGAGATCCGTGGATGGCCCCTCTCCCATTAGCAAAGCACAGTCTCTGGGACCAGAGGATAACGGAATTGTTTCGTTATATCTAGCAATAACTCATTCCCTAAGAGGCCCAAATGGGAGGCTGCGGTAACCTTGCTCTGTTCCCTTATCCATAATTCATGTTTAACAAGCTGCAGGTTCCCAGAGCTGCTCCTGTTAGATTTCCATTACACAGCCCTTTTGAAAACCCACCAAATTAACGGGTTTGCCTCAAAATACCATGTTCTTTAAACATTCAAAAGCCAACTTTCCCCCTTGGCAACATGCAGTCAGAACTAGACAGCTTTGATCAGACTCCTCCCAGCAAATGGCTGAAGAACATGGAGAAAGTGATGCCCCGCCCCTGTGCTGAGGACTGCACCTCCAGCCTGTGGTCCTCAAACGTCAGCACCCTTCAGATCCCTAGCTGGGTCCTGAGCTCCGCCTGGCCCTCCCACTGGTAGTTTCCATGGAAGGAAAGGTGCTACCCAGCCCACTTGTTTGATTCATCACTTGCCTGTCTTTGGACACAGCACAGATAAGACTGTCACTTGGCTCATGTCCCCATGCAGAGCTGAGGGG